CTGCCCCAGAAACGCTGACAAAGAGAAAGCTGCCTCTAACCCTGAAGAACTGTCTGAGTGGACTGAAGCCAGATTTGCTGGCCCTTGCACCTCTGGGTACAGTGAGTCTGTAAGGGGGTCCAGGCATCTTCTATTTGCTAATCACCTTGTTCTCACCTTGGTTGTGGTCCCCTAATTCCACCCTCACAAATGCAATGCAAAACTCAGATTGTCCTCTGGTCCTTCCACTCTGCTTACAAGTATGTTAACTACCTCAACTCTTGCCTCTTGGCTCTGGATGGATGGTTTAAATGGATTCAAAACGTGATATCACCATCATAATTTGCTCTGGGCTTCCTGATCAGTATCTTCTAGAAGAGCCTGCCTATCATGGAGGTAACCATTCCACCAAGACAATTTGCCAGAAGACACAGGGGCTGCAGCTAGCTGTCCATGCTTCCCAACTCTTGGTTCCCCAAAACATGACACACTGGAGGAAGACTAGAAGGCAGAAAGAGGACAGAAGATGGAAGTTCTTGTTGTTTCCCTGCAGGGACTGAACATCTCCACCAGCAGAGATCCCACCCTGCCTTTCTGGGACCAAACCCTCCACGCTCAAAACAAGTTTGCAACATTGGGCGAAGTGGGATGGGGGTGGTTGGTTTCACGATACAAAACTAGAAAATTCAACATTAACAAGTATTCTGTTAAATGCCTGCAAACGGCAAACCGAGTCAACATAAACCGCATTTCAACTCTTTAACAGTTTTATATAAATGTGATGAAGCTCAGATTAGAAGGACAAGATGAAAACTGTAATTTAAAACTGAGAACCACCGAAACCATCCACCTCAATGGCTTCCCCCAAGTTGTAGCTATTGGGGACGTAATCTCCCAATTCAAGGAGGTGAGTGGGTCACCAGTATACTCTGCTCAGGGACAGGTCCATCTGTTCAGGGATTCTTGGATTACCAAAGGAATGATCTGGTCTAAACTTGAACTTGTTTGCTCTGTCTTGCCCCATGATGCCATCTGTCATGTCATGACCCAACAAGAAGGTCGTTAGCAGGTGCCAAGTAGATAAATTCCAAGTAGATCAGATAGTAGATGTTTATTTTCCAGCCTCTAGAACCATGAGCCAAAATAAACCTCCCTTCTTTATAAATTACCCAGACTCGGGTATTTTGTTAAATAACAGAAAAAAATATTTCCATCAAAGGTGATAGAGATAACAAGGGACAAGCTCTTTTTTTTATTTGGCCTGAGATGAGCAGATTTGAGGTGGGGCAGGGCAGAAGGCATTTCCCAATAATTGTGGTCCTGACTTACAGAAGTCTGTAAAGGGCCTGACAAAGCTTCTTCCTCTCATAGATTTCTTTTGTATTACTCTTGGTGTGTAACTACCTAGAATCCTCTTCTACACCAGATTACTTGATGGAGTTGAGGAGCAGAGAGGGTGAGGCAAAGCACAGGAAGTGAGACTTGGGTCTGGCCTCTGATGAAGCATAAGGTGTATCCAGGGGCCAGAACCTGTGCTGTGGGTGGCTGAGCAAAGCTTGCAGGGATGAGTCTCAGTGACTCTGGAAACACAGAAGGGTCAGTCATCATCTAAGCTCACAGTTCTTGTGACATCCAAAGCCCTGCAGGTCAGAGCAGCAACAGCTCTGGTCCCTCAAAGGGAAGTACTTCCCAGACTCTCAATGCCTGCTCAGAGCCTAACATCTCTTTTTTCCTCATCCTTTGTATCTATTATGTCTTCTTTCCAAACCAGGACATCTTAAACTTTAGTGTGCATAGGGGTTACGGGAAAGTTGTAATTTGCTTTTGGGGTCTTTTTTTTTTTGCCAGTCCTGGGACTTGAACTCAGAGCCTAGGCACCATTTCTGAACTTCTCATCACTCAAGGATAATGCTCTACCAAGTGGTAGAGCCATAGCACCACTTCCACCTTTTTCTGAGTACTGTATCAGAGGTAAGAGTCTCAGAGACTATTCAAAGCCAGGCTGGCTTTGAACCATGATCTTCAGATCTCAGCCTCCTGAGTAGCTAGGATTATAGGCATGAGCTACCAGAGCTCAGCTTACAGGAAGTTCTTATTGATTCTGATTCTCTCTGCATCATGCTTTTAGAAGCTTTGCTCCACAGAATGGCTCTCTTTCTCTCCTCCCAAAGCTAGTTATGAAATATGTGGCTAGCCTTGAGTGACGTTGTGTCTCTGAATAAAAAATTAAAATTAAAATAAGCTGGTGGCTCATGCCTGTAATCCTAGCTACTCAGGAGGCTGAGATCTGAGGATCATGGTTCAAAGCCAACCCAAGACAGGAAGGTCTGTCAGAGTCTAATCTCCAATTAACCACCCAAAAGCCAGAAATGGAGCATGGCTCAAGTGGTAGAGCACCAGCCTTGAGGGGAAAAGCTCAGGGACAGTGCACAGACCCTGAGTTCAAGCCCTAGGACAAATAAAAATAAAAATATAAGTAGATAGATAGATAATATAAAAAGGAGGGGATGTAGCTCAATGCTAGATTCTTTACCTAGCCATCATAAGATCATGGGTCCAGGGGCTGGGAAGGTGGCTCAGTGGTAGAGTGCTTGCCTTGCATGCATGAGGCCCTGGGTTTGATTCCTCAGCACCAGATAAGAAGAAAAAACCAGAAATGGTGCCGTGGCTCAAACAGTAGAGTTCTAGCCTTGAGCTGAAGAGCTGAGGAACAGCACTCAGGCCCAGAGTTCAGGCTCCACAATGGACCAAAAAAAAAAGATCATGGTCCATCCCAATATCACCACAACAAAGGAAGTGAAGAACCAGTGACAAATTTCCTAAAGGTTCCATTTCAGCCAACCAACTACTGAAGGCACATGGCATAGATAGAAGCCAGAAGAAATTTCTGAGCTTGGGACTGGTGATCCTAGCTACTCATAAGGCTGAGATCTGAGGATTGGGGTTCAAAGCCAGCCGAGGCAGGAAAGGCCATGAGACTTTAATCTCCAATTAACTACCAGAAAACTGGAAGTGGGGCTGACTCAAAGTGATAGAGCACTAGCCTTAAACAAAAAAGAGCTCAGGGACAGCATCCAGGTCCCTTGATCAACAACAGAAAGAAAAAAAGAAAGGAAAGGAAAGGAAAGAAAGAAGGCAGGAAGGAAAAAAGAAAGAATGAAAAAAGAAATAAGGAAGAGAGAGAGAAAAAGGGAAGGAAAGGAAGGAAGGAAGAAAAGAAAAGAAAATTCTGGGGGTAAAGTTAGAACCTAATGTGTCAAATTTTCATATCTATCAGGATCAAAACCCTACATTTTGTGTATAACTTCACACTGAATGGCTAAAGCAGATGCAGCAATCAGAGCTCAGGAAACTGGGATAACAGGGAATATTATTTTTCCTTGTTCCTTGGGTGGAGGGGGAACCAAAGAATCCAAGCCTGATATAGATAGATAGATAGATAGAAAGATAGAAAGATAGATAGATGTTGATATATGCATATATCCATATATATAGATATCCTTTCTGTCCCTTGGCTGCAACTCTAGGTCACAAGGTGATTAAATAGGAATAATCTCCTGCATTTCAGATTAAACTCATTGTATTCAGCCAAATTTGCCTGTAAGGCCTTTGCTTTTATTATGTGATGAAAAACTTTATTCCCTAGCAAAAGGGAAGTTAGGCAACAGAGATCAGCCTAAGTCTGGGGGTTGTTTTACACCCTTCTCTGTAACCCAACTAAGTTGGACAGGACTAAGGAGATGAACCTACTTTGTCCTAAGGCAATGCTAGAGTGCCCGCCGAGGAACAAGCCTGACCCACCCCCACAGTGCTGGCCTGATCTTCCTTCTTCATCTCAGGTTCTGTGGCCCAGACAAGTTGATAGAACCAGATCCAGGATTTGCAAACCTAGAATTCCACTCTGGATGCAGGGACTCTTCCCCTTAAACGGCCTGCTAAATGCCATCATCTGCCCATTCTACCTTCTGGTTCTGTCTCTACTACCCCAGTCTACCACAAGGCTGAGGATGGCCCAGCTGGGAATTCCTGCATTTGAATTCACTGACATTGAGAACACCAGGAAGGGGAATAAGAAGCTGGAGGCTGTATTAGGTAATGAGGGTGGAGGCCCAGGAAGCCCTTTTTTTTCTGAAAGAATGAGCAGACCCTAGAGGCTTAGACCTCAGGGCTGCTGAGTGGACTGAACGTGAGGAAGAAGATGTCCCAGGAGCTAGCAGAGTTCTTTGTCTTTGTGACAACAGTAACTGCTTGGAGCAAAACAAGGGAGAAAATACAGCAAATCACACACACACACATTAACCCCAAATGAATACAAATACTGTAGATCCTGCAAGGGGGGGGAACCCCCAAAACTCCTGAAAGTCTTCAAGGATTGAATGGCTAACCAGACTCCTTCTAGTCATTTTGGTATCTCAAACGCCAATTCACCCAACAGGGAGCCAGGCATCTGTGACGCTCACCACATGCATGTATGGGAACTGCACATGGGGCCAATTTTCAGATGAGCAAAATACACACCCTTGTAAATCTCACAAAAAGATTCTGTAGCCAAGACTTGTCACCGGCTTAAAACGTAGAAAAGCAGAAGAAGAAGAGAAGGAAGAGGCAGAGGAGGAGGAAAAAAATGGAGACTGGAGGGCAGGGGAGAATGGCCAGCCCCAAGGCTTTTGAACCCTCAAGGGTTAAAAGTTAAGTGGAATCCGACCACCGGGTTCAGCCACTCGAGAGCGAGGCGTCTGCAGCCGCACAAAACATCCACCCTTTTTGGCCTCGACCACGCGGCGGCGGCAGCAACCCCAGCCTCCCTCCTCCCGTCCTCCGCCTTTGGGGAACAAACCAAGGAAGCTCACGTTAGTGGCAGCCAAGGCGAGGGGCCGGCTTTGCCCGAAGAGGGAGGGTGGGAGGGTGGGAGGAGGGAGGGAGGAGGGGAGGGGAAAAAGCAAGAAGCCCCCCCCCTTCCCGGGCGGAGGGGGGCGGGAGGAGCGCGTCCCGGCCGGTCTGCGCGGTCGTCTAGCTAGCACTCCAGTGCATCGCTCGCGGCGCGGGAAGGATGCTGGTCGGCAGGGGCGCGCGCGCGGGGCCCGGGATGCTGCGGGGCTGGACCGCGCTCTGCTTGCTGAGTTTGCTGCGTGAGTATGGACCGCACACCACGCTGCTGCGCGCACCGCGCCAGCCCCACTTGGCTCCCCCGGAGGGAGAGGGCGAGCTCCGGGGGGCGGGGTGGGATGGGGGGGTTGAAAGCTGAGCCCCCAAGCCCGGCCGATCGGGAGGGATCCCATGCACTGCGGCGCAGGGCTGCACCTGGGCCCCGGGGCCAGCGCCACACCTGGGAATCGGTGGCGGTGGGAGGCGAAGCCACCTGGGCGGGAACGTGGAAAGACCGATTTGGTTTGCTGACATGACGTGTGCGTGGAGAACGGCAGGATCTCTGCGTTGCCAAAGGTGCTGAGCGCAAAGTTGGAGCCAGAACCAGGAGATGGGAGGGGGAGGAGGAGGAGGAAAGAAGCAGGAAAGTTTTTGTAGCTGCTAGTTGATGCAGAAAGCAATAGCCTGGAGCTGGTTCGGGCCAGGCAGGGCCCAGGCGCCCACCTTCCCCGGAGACGTGGACGGTAAGGAGGGTCAGCGGATCCAACCAGGGCCGGACGCGGGGTCCCACGCCCCTGAGGCCCGGGAGGAAGGCCGAGCTAGGTGAGCGGAACAGTTTGGAATGAAGAACAGTCCGTTCTTGCATTGAGGATTAGAAAGTTAGGACAGTAAATTAGAATCGCCTCTGCAGGCGCTTCACCCACCCCGCTGAAGGGGAAGGTGGGGGTGGTTTCCCAGGTACATGGCCTTCTGCGCTCAACTCCTCACCCCTGCGCGTATTCAAACTTGTTACACTGGCATCTTCTTGCCCTGTTCACCTCCAAATTCTAAAGCGAGTGGACAGGCCAGAACACTTCTCGCTCACCCACACATCCTACCTCAAAAGGTCTCACAGCTGGCAAAAAAAAAAAAAGTAATAGGCACTCGATAACTATGCTTAATTGCTTTCATTGGAGGCTAGTATTCTACATCTTTTTTCATTATTTTAGTGCAGGTACTGGAGTTTGAATTCACATTCTGGTCACTTAGCTTCTTTGCTCAACTGGCACTCTACCATTTGAGCTACAGCTCCACTACTGTCTTTTTTGTGGTTGTGTTGTTTTGTGTTGCTGGTTAATTGGAGATACAAGCCTCATGGACTTTAGTGCCTGTGGTGATTTTGAATCACGGTCACCAGATCTCTGTCTTCAGATTAAGGAAGGTTACAGGTGTGAACCATATTCTATATGTTCTTTAAGTAGCTTTTACTTGCTTCTAGCTCTCTGGGGCTCCTGATCCATGTATTCTCTTGAGTCCTAAAGGCCACCCACCATGTCTGCAGAGGAACTAGAACTTGCCTGCTGGGTATCTTTGCTCCAGGTCTCCTCTGGGTTCCCCTCAGTTGGAGACAGCTGGCAACTGCTGGAGGAAGCGGAGTTAGATTCTCCGCTGGCTTGTTTGGCAGCCTAGATGTGCACACTAGGCCTCCCATAACAGGTGTTAACCTGCACCCTCATAGCCCAGAGAAATATCTAGGGCTCATGTCCATATCAGATGCTCTCTATTCTTCTCGACCTGGACCTGCCCAGCCTGGGTAGCCTGAAATTGAGTGGTGCAGGCTGAGTGGTCTATCCTTTTCTTATTTCCTGGGTGAGCCTAGATCAACCTTGTCTTGGCCTGAAGCAGTGTGAGTAGAGGAACAATACAACTTTGAGCAGATTGGCTGAGAATATCAACATCTCTGCTTTGGGGTGAAGGGTAGAGCATGGGTTTCCATTTCCAAAATGTTTTTAGAAATAATAATTAGTAGTAGTATTGTGTGTGAGTGTCCTGAGGCTTGAACTAGGGCTTGGGTGCTGTCCCTGACCCTTGTGCTCAAGGCTAGTAGTACTCTACCACTTGAGCCACAGCTCCACTTCAGGCTTTTTTTTTTTTTTTTGGTTGGTTGTGAGGCTTGAACTCTGGGCCTGGGCGCTGTCCCTCAGCTCTTCAGCTCAAGGCTAGCACTCTACGGCTTGAGCTACAGCGCCACTTCTGGTTTTCTGGTGGTTTATTGGAAATAAGAGTCTCACAGACTTTACTTCTTGGGCTGGCTTTGAACCTCGATCCTCAGATCTCAGCCTCCTGAGTAGCTAGGATTACAGGCGTGAGCCACCAATGTCTGGCCTCATTTCTAATCTTGAGCCACTTGTTGCTCTAGGTCTTCTAGGGTTTGAGATGTCTCTCTGTCTCTCTGTGTCTCTGTCTCTTAGGCATGGATCCCCATTTCCAATCTTGTCAGACTAATTGGGCCAATTGTTGCTCTAGGCCTCCCAAGAGCTTTCTAGGGTTTTAATGTTTCCTTCCTCCCCTCCCCCCTCCCTTCCTTTCTTGCTTTCATTCTGTCTTCTCCCGACCCCTTCTCTTTCTGTAGGAATTGTGTTCTACCCTGGAATACATTATGAGCTAAATGAAATGAGTGACTACACTTCAAAATGCTATCAACAGGCCATTACCATTGCAAAAATGCATTGTTATTATTACTGGAAGTTTTAGTGTTACCTTATCGCTGCCCCAACAAAGTGCTGGGAAAGTTGTGTTTTTTTCCATCTTGGTGAGAAGTTGACATGGATGAAGGCACACCAGCCAACCACACATAGGCTCTCTTTTCAGGGTGAGTAAATCAGAAACCAGAGTCTAGGTGGAGGCCAAGGACCACCAGGCAGCAGCTGCTGGGTGGTAATTACAGGGTCCCTTTTTTATCAGGTTCAGGGTATCTTTCCTCCAAGGCTTACCCTTTCCCTCATTCTGACAACACCCTCTAGGGCTGCCCGGGTCACATTCCTTTTCTTCCTTTGGGTTCTTCATGCCTGCCGACCCCACACCCATATCCTGTCTGGGTTCCATGTAAGGGGGGGAGAAGAAATGGGGAAAGAATCTTATCAGATGTTTTCCAGAGGGGAGAGGACTCCACCCTTTGACTCTGCCACATGGCCATGGAGGAGGAGCAACCTTGGGGACCTCTGACTAATTCAGTGGTCCCCCTTGTCAGGTCAGCCCAGCCAGTACAAAACTTTTGTAAATGCAGAACTTGGGCAGCATTCCTGTGTGACTGATAAAACAGGCAGAAGCCTGGGACCTCCTTTGTGTATCCCTTTAGCTCCCCCGCCCCCCCTTCATTCATTTATCCTCATCTCCTTCTTTTTCTGAGTCTACCAGAGCCTTTGTCCCCCTAACGCTCAAGGCAAGAAGTGTCCCAACTACAGCTGATAAACTCAGGCACCCAGTCCTTAAAAGAAAAAGGGGGGAAAAACCCAGCAGCTTAAAAAGAGGAATAAAATTTTCACTCTTTCACACCACGTTGCCTGATTTCCTTTAGATTCTGGGCTGGAGGCTCTGGGCTTGCTTTCAGGGCTGAGTGTTTCTCTTAACTCCACTCTGAGTCCTTGGGGCTGCCCATCTCATGGACTTTGGTTCATCAACTAAATGTCTTGCAGTGTGGCCAACCAAACATAGGAAGGTATGGACGAAGAACAAAAACACCACCTCCAGAAGAAAATTCTCACTGTGGCCAGGACAGAATTTCCATATTTGTTTTGGGCTTTGACTTCCCAAATGAGAACAATTTCTTCCTTTCTGAGCTAAGAAATAAAAACACATCCTCTACCATCTTTAGTCTCCAGGGCCCTGCCTGCGTGCTAGAAAGGAGAGAGACACGTTCCTGGAGAAGATGGAGAGCCAAAGCAAGAAGGGGGGCATAGCAAGGTGACCTTCCCTACACATACCCTCTAGATCCAGACTTGGAATGAATCACTTCCCTTCAGATACAAAGGAAAAGGCCTCTGGCTTAACTGGGAAGTCTGCCCCTTCCTGATTTGGAAAGAAAAAAGAAAAAAAAAATCAAGCATGTAGCATCTCTAGGTAGCTTGCTCCATTGCTTAAGAAAACGTGTCCTGGATGTGCTAGAGCAGACAGGAGTCCGAATGGCAAGTTTGATAAAGTGGAACCTTATGTTTGGCTGGGCCAAGAGACAAAACAGCTGAAGGGCTCGGGACTATGGAGAGGGAGGGAGGCGGAGAGAGACATTTGTAGAGGTAGAGGAACAGTGGAATAGACTAGGCCAAAGAGATTCCTTAATATGAATTCATTAGTATAATGGTGACTAATATTAATTATGCTAGTGTTTCCTTGGTGCTTCCTTGTAATGTTGCTCCAGGCTCTCTAACCTTCCATGAAAAGTGCTGGGTGACAGTGGCTCACACCTGTAATCCTAGCTACTCAGGATGCTGAGATCTGAGGATCACAGTTTGAAACTACCTTGAGTAGAAAAGTCTGTGAGACTCTTATTTCTCCAATTAACCACCAAAAAGACAGAAGTGGAGCTGTGGCTCAAGTGGTAGAGTCCCAGCCTTGAGTAAAAAAAGCTAAGGGACTACATCTAAGCCCTGAGTTCAAGCCCTACTACTGGCACACATACACATAGAAATTGCCTATACACACTAGGCTTCTGTGAGTGGCTCTCTTGAGAGACTGAAGGACAAAGGTGCTTGGCTAGCTGAAGGTACGGTAGTACCATATTGAGTAGAGGGAAGCATGGAGCTGCTATCTAGGAGTCAAAAACTTTAGGAAAATAGAAGAAGGAGAAGAGAAAACCTCACGATACTAGAAAATCCCTGACTAATAACTATTGGGCTGTTAGTATACCACAAACACTTGGGCCAGCTATACCTTGGTGTACATTCACACCTAAGTTTAGTCTGGAAAAGCTAAGGAAGGCATGAGCTTTTGTGGTCGTCCCAAAGGGCTTAATCTCATGTAAAAATCACAGGTGAAAGGTACCTCTTAACAAAGATGCTCCCGAAATACTCCCAGAGAATGCCGGTAGCTCAGTTATCCCCCGAAGCAGTTCATCCTATAAAAAAAAAATTACATGAATTCTTTTCTTCTTTTGCAGTAAAATTAACCTTCTTATAACTCGTAATCATTGTTCAAATTCTACTCTTTGGATTGTTACAGGTTTAATTTGGTCCTTCATGAAAATCCTTAAAGACTTTTCTAGTTGGCTTCAATAGATTATAAACTCTTGGGGGATTTACTTAAATTGCAATGACACTAAAACCCAGGGAAAGTCAGCAATTGGTTCCTGTACTGTCTTGTTGGACTAAACAACAGGCTTTGTATGCGATTGGTGGTGAAGGTTAAAAAAAAATACAACATACACTGTAAGTGAAGTGGATCTTAAACTTATTTATTCAACTCAATTTCTTAATTTTTCAAGGTCAGCAAACTTCTTATAAAAGGAACAGATCATAAATATTTTAGGCTTGAAAGACCATCTATTGTTTGTGATTCATGTTCTACATTGTCTTTATTTTCAACCCTTACAAATGTAAAAACGATGCTTGGCTGACTAGCTATACAAAAACAGCTCCCAGCTGGGATGTGTTCCAACAGCCATCCTTTGCCCTCTCTGATCTTGATGTGATAACAAACATCAGGCCCTCAGCATTGTCACTTGGTTTCTGGAACTCTTAGAATCTTGGCTGTCTTTACATGGGCCCTCCCTAACATTAAAGCAGAGCATCCAAAGCAAATGCCTATACCTAGATGTGGCTGTTCTACACCCACTGGGCTGTTCCCTACTGCTACTGATCCTGACATCCCAGGATTCTGCTAAGTGTCCTATGCAAATCGCACAAGTAGAAGAATGGGCCTAACACTCAAGAAATGTATGCTGTAACCCAGGCCGACAGTTAGACCTATCCTGAGGAAACAGCATGTGCGATTTTGTGCCAGATGAATGAGAGAGATAAGCGCTCAGCTCTTGGGGACAAAAGGAAGGGGCCTCAAGGAAGGGTCTATTCTGAAAAAGTGTTGAGCAGTACCAGACAGACTGCTCTACACTTCCCAACCTCCTTTGTTCTTCAACACAACTAGGAAGCAGGGTCTGCTTTTATCCCTATGTTACTAGAGAGGGAGAGGTTAGAGAGTTTACTTCCTGGCTAGTTCACCAGGTTGATTTCTTAGCCATGTTGACCTCATGGTTAGGAAAGTGAGAGGGAAGCATCTTGAGTGTGGTCAGAGTCTGTTTCTGAGTGATGTCTGCCTTCCCATTACTAAGGCTGTGTGTTCTGATGTTTTGCTTTGTGGTGGCAGATGCCTTCTGCCCAAGGGAAGGATGGATGGATGGATGGATGGATGGATGGATGGATGGATTGGAGTTGGGGGGCTAGGAGATCAGGAAATGGAGAAAACTAAAGGATGTCAGTAAAAACAATAAGAGCACATATAGGAAAACTCAGCCTCTTATGAGGGTTTAACTATTTGGGTAATAACTTACTGAATCCCTTAGGGTTTGTAAATCCCCTTTAATGACCAAAAGAATCTTCCCTTTACTAATTGTAGGTAGGAATCTTTTCCAAATAGATTGCACATACCTTTGCTTCCTTAGAAGTCTCCCTCCCCAAAGGACTTCAACTTTTGATGACTCAAATGCATCCTGAGAATAATGTCTTTGCTGTACCTCAGTAACATCATTAGCATCCATTAAGGTGCGTCTCTCTACTCCTACCATAACTGACTAGACTCCAGACCACTGTGGCTTTGTTTTCCTGTCGTTTTCCATTCATCTTGGTTACTTAGTTTTCAGCTGTTAATTCTTATTATTGGCTTCTAATTTTTATTAGCCAGGATATCAAAATATCCAAGCTTATTAGAATGGCCTATGAGCAAAAACAACCAAAAAAACAAAAAGCCTGTGATGAAGTTCTTATAAGTTTAGGGTTTGAGTTTTATTGCATCAGTTTTTACTTTGACAGAATTCTCATGGTCTTTATTCTAAGGACTGGACTCTTTTTCTCCTCCCCTCTCTAAGTTCATGCATGAGTCAAAATCATATAGGACAACGAGGGTTAGAAAGAGTCCTTCCTTCCACTGCCATGGTTGATAAGGATGGACAGAGCAGTAAACAACAGAAGACAGCTCTGAGTTGCAGTGCAGTTCTCTGCAGGGCTGGGAGTAAAGTTGGTCTAGCAGGGGATAGAGTGGAGGTTTCATCCTGGTCTTTCTGCTTCTCACTGTTGGCTGCTTTTATTCCCCTCTGGAGTTGAGATCAGAGCTCAGACCAAGAAAGGCTAGTGTTTGATGGTTCTACACCATGGATGTGCATGGGAGGAGCGGATAAAAAGAGACCTGTGGTCAGTCTTGACCCTTAGGATGGCGTTCTTCCAAGACTGTCTCCACATAAGCTCTGTAAAAGGATCCCTGGGGACATCAATCAGTGAGGGCCTGTGTGCTAGTGCCTAGGTCAGGACTGGCTCTCAGGCACTGGCTATGTATGGTGTGCCTAGTCTATTTAGACTTGCCTTTCTGCCCTTCTTCTTTGTCCTGTTTCTCCAGGGTCTCAGCAGCTTCTCTGCTCACTCAGCTCAGCTCAGGAGTCTGAGATTGGATCCCCCTTCTCCTTGGCAGATAGCTGCTGCTACCCCATCTTCCCCGGTGCTTGGCTAAATACTGAGAGGGAGTTGGCTGCTGCAGCTGGGAGCCTGTCCCCAGCAGGCCTGGAGCTGGCCTAGACCCAGAGTTGCTTCATTCTTCTGGAACAGGCACCTCAGAGCGAACATCAGGCTTCTCTTCACATCTGGAAAAGTTCAAAAGTGTTTGTCTGGGTGAAGGAGGTCCCTCGGGGGAGGGGGTTCAAACGCATGACATCACTTCAGTCAGGCACAGCTTCCTTTGGAGAGGGAAAAGGGCAGGGCCAGGCTGGACCAGATGGGATTCCCAAGAATTGATGTGTTTGAGGAAAGCGGGGAGGGTCTGGGCAGAAAGAGGTCCATCCAAGAGGAACTTCCAAGGGAAGTGCCTTAAGAGCATAATCCTTTTCATTCTGGGACCTAATGGTATAAACACCTGTTCCCTGTAATGAGTTCCTAGAGTCAGTGGTGCAGGGCTCCTATCTAAAGAAGGAAGTAGCCTTCACTGGATTCTATGTTTTCTTCTGATTGACACTCTCAAGCCCACGGAAATGCTGACTCAAGAGTCAGCTAAACCTCAGCCCCCTTGTGGTCTTGGCTTTTTTATCTTGGCTAACACCTTGATGACTTAGGTTATCCATCTCTAGGATGGAGTTAAGAATATCATTGCTTCCCATCACCCCGTTTCATATGAATAATATTATTATTAGCCAGGCATCGGCAAGGCAAGTTGTTACTCTGTGGGCATGGTGAGTAGGGAATCAAGAGCAGGTAAGAGCAACTTACTTAAAAGCGTAATGAGATAAAGGTGTAGAATTTGGCTAGGCGCTAGGTGGCTCACATCTATAATCCTAGCTATGTGGGAGGCTGAGATCAGATGATCACCATTCCTAACCACCCAGGGCAAAAGAGTCTGTGAGACACACTCTTATCTCTAATTTACCAGCCAAAAAAAAAAAAATCCAGAAGTGGAGCTGTGGCTCAAGAGCACCAGCCTATTGATATTAATACTAACGTTTGATTATTTGCACTCATTGGTAATATCAGTGTGCCTATAGCAAGCTGTGGAGAAAGGTAGATGTGGGGGAATGAGTCACTTTAGGAGACACATTCTTGACTTGAAGCTGGAAATCTGACTCCATTTGATGTTGAGGAAAACAGAAATTTTCCTTCTACGTTGCTTTTTAATTAGGAAATCTCTGAAAAATACAGATGGAGAGCTCAACCAAGAAAATTTAGTTCTAGGATGTCCTGGGGCTTTTCTTCGTTCTCTAGGTATGAACTCTGGCAAACAAGCCTACCCTTAATATTTACGGGGACCAAGGCCAGGGTACAAGAGAGGCTCATTCCTGTATGCCTAAACATTTCAGGCCAACTAACGGATAAATAGGTTATCTTCAATCTTTATTACTTGACAAACATTCCTTCATGCTACCTAGAACTCTAGCCTTGGAATTCAGGGTACACTGTGATTGGTCAGGAAGGAGATGCATGCTGACTGCAGCCCATTTCCTGTCTCTTCTTGGGATCTTGCACATCTATATGGGGCATCTTCTCCCTCCAAGAAGTAATGATTGGGGCCTATGAATAACTATGCTACTTATTATGATTCATTTTATTGCTTGTAATTTTACCCTTCTATAAAAAATTATAATAGACACATGCTTATAGATTTACTTTTCTATTTCCTTAGAAAAAATGGATAATAGAAAATTTAAATTATTCTTCAGGAGAATATTCTCTTGATGGCACCACAACTTGAACTCGGGGCCTGGCATTTGCTCAGTGGGTGTTATTCTACTTGAACCAGGCCCCTGGCCCTGTTTTGCTAGTTAATGTTCAGACAGAATCTCTTGCTTTTTGCCTATGCCTCCTGGGTAGCCAAAATTATAAAGGTAAGTCACTTGTTTGTTCAAATAGGGGGTGTCTCACTAAGTTTTACCCAGCCTGGCCTTGGACCTCAGTCTTCCCAATCTCCTATGTAGCTGGCATTTCAGGTGCGAGCCACTACACATGGCTAGGGGGGATATTTTTATTCTGCTCCATTGCTGGGGCAGCAGAGACTATTCTAGAGTCCACCTGATGTCGACATTGAATCCCATGATGCCATGAAGCTCCTCTAGGTTGTTCTTAACTTGTCCTCCTTGCTTCCCTCTAGCCTCCGGGTTTGCGGAGCAGGGTAATTTGACGACTGGCACCATGGAGTCAACCACCCAGGAAACAGTTTCAACTGTTTCTATAACTGTATCCACCGAGAGCACCATAGAGCCAAGTACCCTGGGAAATGCCACCCCCCACCACCCTGTCTCTCAGGACAGCAATGAGACCACAACAGCCACATCAGGTAAAGAGAATTGCTCAAGTTCTAGAGCAGAGTGGCAGGTGCCTGGGCAGAGCATTTAGGATGCTAGCAGACTTCCCTGTTGGGCCCTTGCATTTGTTGTTTGGGCATCATACTAGTATGCTAAAGTTGATTCCGCCAGGGGTGTCTTTTTTGGGCTGGCGCATTGGCAGTTGTCTCTCTGTGCACCTCTCCACCCTTGCTGACCCAGCTGGTCATAAAGAAGGCTCAGATGAGGACCCCATCGAGGTCTCTGAGCTCTTCCAAATGAAGGAAGATGATGGATCCAGGCTCATCTCGGTGGTCTCTTGTTGGTAGTCTCTGGGGATGGAACAGCATCTAGTTCATCTAGTTTAGAATCCAGAGGGTATCTTGAATAATCTTAGGTCATCACTACGATTCCAGCAGCTGTCTTGAAATTAGTTTGTTTGGTCAGGTAGGAGCTGCAGTAACCACAACCTCCTCAATAAGTCCTAGTTCTGTGCAGAAGGCCATGTCCCTCCGTGAACGCGTGTTTGTGTGAATGCACAGGAACACCAGTGTTTTGGCCTGTTTCAGAGAACCCTGTCAACTTCACATCTACCTCTGCCACTCCTCCGGCCCACGCGAACACAAACTCTTCTGTCAAGTCACACATCTCTGTGACCTTCCCCATGACTACCACCCCCGCCAGCATGTCCACTTCAGAGATGACCCTGAAGCCCAGTTTTCCACCTGTAAATGTTTCGGATCACTCACCCAGTAGCACCAGCCCTGTGATGACGTCTCCCTCTGAGCTCCACACACCATCTTTTCCTACTCCTGCCTCTGTCAAGGTAAGGGACTGGGGCAAAAAAAAAAGGCAGCTTGCTTCTCACATCAGAAGTAGGCAGCAGGCTCTCCTTTGCATGGGAATGGTATTGAGGATTGCTAGGAGGGGTAGAAAGAGAAGTCATTGGGCACTGGTGGCTCAGGCCTATAATCCTAGCTACTCTGGAGCCTGAGATAATGAGGATCACAGTTTGAAGCTAGCTCAAAAAGACAAATCCAAGAGTCTTATTTCCATTTAACTGGCAAAAAGCCAGAACTAGAGGTGTGGTTCAAATGATAAAGCATCAACCTTGAGCAAAAATGCCAAGTAAGTGTTGAAGGCTCTGGCACCAAAAGAGAAGAAAAAAAGAAAAAGAAAACAATATAAGCTGGCACCAGTGGGGTGGCTCATTACTGTGATCATAGCTACTCAGGAGGCTGAGATCTGAGGATTGTAATTCAAAGCCAGCCTGGTGAAGGAAAGTCTGTGAGTTGCTTATCTCTAATAAACTGTACCCCCCTCCACCTCAATAAAGGTCCAATGTGGAGCTGTGCTTCAAATGGTAGAGTGCTAGCCTTGAGCAAAAGAAGCTCACGGAGTGTCCCTGAGTTCTAGCCTCAGGGCTGGAACACACACAAAAATATCATAAAGAGGGAGGAGAGGGTAGGGTCATATGCTAAGGCTAACCTGTGTTTTGGGTATTGCATTTTTGGGGCGCAGAAGTAAAGAAGAGTCGTAGAAATCCATCCAGTTTTCTGTGGTTCTCTCTAACCCCTTTGACTAGGGGAGTATTTATTATCCATTACCTTCTCTTTACTGGAGGTAAAGAGTGTTCCATCCGCTTGAGCGAGTTTGGTGGGTGTGCTAGCCAGAGCTAGAATGGCAGTGAAGACATCATTGGCAAGGTGAGCTGTGGGCACAAAGGCGTAGTGAGCTCAGTCTGATCTTCTCTGACTTGAGGCCTGGGGCTGTCAGCAGCCTTAAGCATGAAAGGCAGAAAGTATGAGGGTGTGGAGCCTAAGGCCAGACATGAGGGGTCTGTCTGGTTTCTGTTTTTAAAGAACCAAAGTAAGAATCTGGGAAATATTTGGAGCCAGGAAGAAATGGATATCACCAAGACCTGCCTGGCTGCCTCTTTACCTATTTGCACACTTTCCACAAGTGTGCGGTGGAAAGCAGGATAAACAGCCCAAATAGGAAAAGGTCTTCTGTTCCTCCAGTATCCAAGCTGATAGTTTTCAAGATTGCAATAGCTACTTGTTTACAAGGCCAGCCTTGTAGCAGAAAGATTAATTATCCAAAAGAGAGAGAGAGAGATGGAGGAAGACAGTATAGCTGCACTCCTTCCCAAAATATTTGGGATAGGAAGTGGTTTGGAATTCAGGGTTATTTTTTGTTTTTAATTTTGGGATATTTGCATAGGCATAATGAAATAGTATGATGAGACCCAAGTTAAAACACAATATTCATCTTGTTTTATGTATAGTGTGTGTATGTGTGTGTGTATGAGAGAGAGAGAGAGAGAGACAGAGAGAAGGAGAGAGGGAGAGAAAGAAAGGGAGAGAGAAAGACAGAGACAGTACTGGAGCTTGAACTCAGAGCCTGGGCACTGTCCCTTAGCTTTTTTACTCAAGGCTGGCATGCCTTCACTTGAGCCACACCTCCACTTCTGGGATTTTGCTAGTTAATTGGACCTAGGAGTTTCATGGACTTTCCTACCTAGACTGGCTTTGAAACTCCGTTCCTTAGATCCTAGCCTCTTGAGTAGGTAGGATCGTAAGTCATTAGCCACTAGTGTCCAGCTTTATATATGTCATATACACAGCCTGAGGCCAGTTTTCTACAATATTTTTCAATAATTTTGTGCATAATTTTGAGTGGTTTGGAATCTTATACTCATAGCATCACATTGACACTCAAAAAAGTATAAGATTTTGAAACATTTTGTGTTTTGGAGTTTTGGGTTATGCATAGCTTTAACTTGTATTAAAAATCTCTAGTCTTCTGACCAACTATAAAATTCATTTTTTTTTGTCAATCATGGATCATGGACTTAAACTCAGGCTTTGCACGCTGCCCCTGAGCTCTTCCATTCAAATCTAGTCTACTCTGAGCTACAGCACCACTTCTGGTTTTCTGGTGGTTAATTGGAGACAAGAGTATAATAGACTTTCCTGCCCAGGCTGCATATCTCAGCCTCCTGAGTAGCCAGGATTACAGGCATGAGCCACCAGCACCCAGCTCTGTCCTTTTTCTTTTTTTTCTTTTGTGTTGGTTGTGGGGCTTGAACTCTGGGCCTGGGTGTTGTCCCTCAGCTCTTCAGCTCAAGGCTAGAGCTGTACTACTTGAGCCACAGCCTCATTTCCTCTGACCATATTTTTAAAGAGAGTATTTCACAGAGACCAAAGTGGGAAGGAGGCAGGGATGCTTACCTATCTGCTTTGCTTTGTTTTGATACAGGGAGAAATCAAATGCTCTGGCATCCGTGAAGTGAGGTTGACACAGGGAATCTGCTTGGAGCTAAATGAGACCTCCAGCTGTGTAAGTCCTCCCCCTCCACTTCCCTTCTCCTCCTCTGCCTTCCCACAAGCCCTGGGACTTCCTCCAGTCATCTTCCATGAGGCTGCACTTGTACCAGGGGTCTGCAAGTGTAGCAGGCTTCTTCTGTAACTTCTAATACCAAGCTTTGGGTTTAGGGAGTAAGAAGCCCCATCTGGTGGGCAAAAAAGGCAAAACCTATTTTAATTAAATGTTATTTGGTGTGAGATTTTAGTTTGTTTTTATATTAAGAGAGACCTTCTCAAGTCTAGATATAAACTAGTCAGGCATGTGTTTTGGTTTGTTACTGAGCCTTGAACTCAGGGCCTGGGTGCTCTTCCTGAGTTGTTTTGCTCAAGGCTAGCGCCACAGCTCTGTTCTGACTTTGGGGTGGTTAATTGAAGATAAGTGAACAGGCTTTCTTGCTAGTACTGGCTTTGAACTGCTTCAGATCTCAGTTTCCTGAGTAGCTAGGATTACTGTACAGGCATGAGCCACCAGCGCTGGCTTTGGTTCTTTTAGTTTTTAAAGAAAGTTACCCTATTATCTTCCAACATGTTTTTCTGTTCTTTGTAGCTAGTAACATGTCTTGTTTCAGTTTCTTACTGCATTAGTAAGAATGTATTCATTTTTAATGAGGATAGAAGGCCTTTTTGCTTTGTTTCAGTAAATCCAATTTCCTGCAAGTAATAAGGCTCTGGAGGAAGGGGGAAGGGGCAAGAGAAGAGTAATATTAAGCAAGGAAACATTTTCTTGCAAGTTAAGAATCCACCTAAGGGAAACCAGTAAAAGATGTACATGCATAGATCTCCAAGGCTACTAGTCAGTAAAGAAGTTACTTAGTTGGCCATTTTACTGTTTATGTCTTACTTCCAAGCATCAGCTGGGTCTCTCTGCCTTACAAATCTTTCAGAATTATACAGAGAAGAATCATTTAACTTAGGGCATTTAGGAACAACCGAAATGGTGACCCAGAATGGAGCAACCCAATGCAGTTCTCAAAAGCAGTTAAATAGAAACGGGCAGCGAACAAGCAACACCCTGTGAGTTTCTCATGTTCATTTTGAAGCTTCCTCATTAGGGAAAAAATTGTCAAACCCTCTGGTTAATTGTAACTAAGCAAAATGATCATTTCCCCCACCCCATCATCTTCAGGATTTAGTTTCTTGGGCATCACATGGGCCTGTGCCTGAATGCGAAATCCATGAGCCTAGTTAGAGCTATCTGCCCTCTACCTGTTGGTTCCAAGCTGTCACTGGACGAGTTAAGGGCTACTCTGGAAATAACTTTCCTGTCTCATCATGGTCTTTGAGTCACAGTGGGAACCTGTGCCCATCCCCTTGGGTCTTGCTAGGATTTATGAGTGATGATTGGGAAGATGGCAGTATCCCCCACCCCCATAGCCTATGCTGAAGAAAGATTGTTTCTTTCTCTCTCTTTTTTTTCTAATTGGGATGGAGAGCAGTACTAGGATTTGAACTCAGGGCCTTGGCTTGCAGGTGTTCTACCACTTGAGCCACGCTCCTAGCCCTTTTTAGCTTTAATTATTTCAGGTAGGGGCTCAAGCTTTCTGGATTGAAATTCTTTATCCCTTGTATCTGGATTAACAGGCATGTATCATCACACCCAGTCACTGGTTGAGACAGGGGTCTATGAGTTTTTTGGGGGGTGAGGGGGCACAGTGTGTCCTTGGATCTCCATCTTCTGAGTAGTTGCCATTACAGATGGGAGCCATCATGCCCAGCTTGCAGTTGTACTTTTGGTGTCGGAGGGTGTTGAGTTATTGGTGATGGGAGAGTTGGGCCTTTCCCACAACTTAATGAGGAGCATAAGGATTTGGTGTTCCCTTTGTAGCATTCCCTTTCACATAATGTCTTGCAGTACTCAGGACACATTGGTACCCACCTGTGTTTAGCACATGCCCGTCATCACATTGTGCATGGGAGAGGAGAACCTCTGCTCTCTGGACTCCCATTCTGCAAGGCTGTGGGGTGTGACCTCCCCCTGGGTGGTGGGTCAGGGAGCCTGTCTTCTGTTCATACCTTCCGTAGACATTGCATCCCAGTCGCTCTCCCTCTGCTCCCATCTCTCACCTCACATGGCCTGTAGAGTTGAAGGTGATGCTCCAGCCATCTATGCATCCATTTCCCCATCTAGACCCAGCACATAGCACAGGGTCTCCCCAGGTCCAATTTGCATTCTCTCTGCTGCACCTGATGTCTGCTTCATTTAGGTTTTGTGGTCACGGTACGCCAAATAGTTCCTCAACTGTGGAGATTATTTTCTTCTCTCATACCCATTCGATAGGGGAAATCCATCAAGTGTATACTTTCTTTTAACTGAGGCAAAATACACAAACGTTGTACTGTCTTACAGCATTTTCAAATATACAATTCAGTAGAACTGACGCCATTCACATTGTTTGGCAATCTACAGGATGCTTTGTGTCTTCTAAAACTTTCTATCAAACATCTAGCTCTTCCCCGTGCCACATTCCAGCATCCACGGTCTTTCTTCCTGTCTGTCTCCATGAAGCTGGCTGACTGTGTACCACATAGAGGTACAATCATGCAGGCCCCCTGGAACTTGATCCTCCTATTTACTCTTACCAATTAGCTAGAATGACAGGCAGGCATACACCATCACACCCAGAATTTTATTGGTTAAAATGGAGGAGGAATCTCAAGAATGTTTTGTTCAGACTGGCCTTGATCTATGATCCTTCCAATACTTGTCTCCCAGAGAGTAGATAAGCACTGTGCCCATCTTGTGTTTTTAATTCTTTTTTTTTTTTTAAGGAACTATCCTACTGGTTTGTGTTTTGTTCCATTTACAGTGCTGGGGATGGAACCCAGCACATGCCAGGCTAGCACTCTATCAATGAATGGCCACATTCAGTATGATAAGTTTTCATAGTGAGTGTGCCATTTCATGTTTCTACCAACAGTGAATGTACAAGGACACCACTTTCTCTCCTCTCTCTCTTTTTCTCTCTCTTTCCAAGAATTGTCTTGATCTCAGGGCCTCTCATTCTCTGTTGACCTTTCCACTCAAGGCTGGTGCTCTACCACTTGAGCCACACCTTCACTTCTATTTTTTTGCTGGTTAATTGAAGGTAAAGGTCTCACAGACTTGTGCCAAGGCTAGCTTCAAACCTCAATCCTCAGATCATACTCCCACAGCAAACAGGGTGACATTACTGTGAGCCAGGCGTCTGTGGCTCACGCCTGTAATCCTAGCTACTCAGGAGGCTGAGATCTGAGGACAACGGTTCAAAGCCAGCCAGGGCAGGAAAGTCCCATGAGACTCTTATCTCCAGTGAACCACCAGAAAACCGAAAGTGGCCCTGAGGTTCAAATGGCAGAGCACTCGACTTGAGCTGAAGAGCTGAGGAACAGAGCCCAGGCCCAGAGAAAAAAAGAAAAAGAAAAATGCCTCCTCTCGTCTGTCCCATCCCCTACTCCAGTGCTTGATGTGCCTTTAAAAAAAAAAAACGGACAGAGAAGGTTCACAACTGAAGTGTGAGGATGCCACTCTAGAAAGCTTGGATGGTTTTCCTCCTTTGGCAAAGTTTGTCTTCAGGGAGCTGGTAAATCTGAGTCTCCTGAATCTAGTGTTCAGGCTGTGGCTTCCTCCTGCCTGCTGTCCCCCCTCCCAGCTCTCCCACCATGTTTGCCCACAGGGTCTCCTGGGGGAGGATGTTTATTCCAACCATCCGGAGTAAGCATTGTATTTTATTCAGGATCCACCTGCTCTCCTCTCTGAGCCCAAACACAATTCACTGAGGCAATGAGATTCCAGTGTGGGAGGCTAGCTTGGGACTGCCTTGAATTCCATCCAAGAAACTAAGTGAGGGGTGGGAGGGGTCCAGAGTAGAGGCCCAACCAGTTGGGAGTGTTAAGTTGAACGAATCTCTTGAGTTGTGTTATGTGTTTGGTGGTATGATAAATGCAATCTGAGTTCAAGATTATGTAATGTGAACCTCCGCTGCATGAGCACATTACAGGGGTCGTGTTAGAGTACGGTTAGAAAGAAAGGACAGTAACCATAAGACAAAGTAGGATAAAAAATATAGAGCCTAGATAAAGTATGAAGGTATTATGTGTGTGTTGTAAAGATTACCTTCTTTAAGTTGTACAAGGGGGCTTCAATTCAAATCAGTTTATAAGTACAATTACCTTTTTTTTTGTTTGGGGGGAGGGATTTTGTATGTGTGTGTGTGTGTGTGTGTGTGAGCACGTGTGCATGTGTGCACACACATGTGCTAGTACTGGAGCTTGAATTGGGAGCCTTGAGCTCTTGCTTAGCTTTCTGCTCAGAGCTGGTTCTCTACCACTTGAGTCAGAGCTCCATTTCCAGGATTTTTTTTCCTGCTTAATGGAGAGAAGTGTCTCTCAGATTTGTCTGCCCAGACTACAATCTTCAGATCTCAGCCTACTGAGTAGCTAGGATTACAAGTATGAACCACCAGCAACTATCTGGGTATTGTGATTATTAATAACAGTAGTAATAGCTGCCATGTTTCCAGTGCATGTTATGTTCCCAAGGGCATTTTTCCACACATCTCTTCAGTTACCACAACCATTTATAGCTGAGGAACCTGACAGACCCGACACATGACTTTCAAAGTTCTAGTGAATAGCAGATGGAAAATGTTACAGAAGACAAGGCTGCCTTCCCCCATGGCACACGTCTGCTCATGAATAAGGTAGAGACGGCGTGTACTCTCACACACTTGACTACCTTGGCTGTACCCACCCCAATGCCTTTCGCTGTTAGGATCTGGGCCTCCTGAATCGGTAGGATTACAGGCCTGAGCCACCAACACCCAGTGATCAGCCTTAATGAAAAGTTAAAGAGGAATACCATGGTGACCTGAGGAGAGTCAGGAGACAGGTGATGTAATGCGGGAAGGGGTGGAAGGATTTAAGTAGGGTCATAGGTGAAGGCAGGGTCTCAGGTCCCTGGACAACTCTGGAGCTTATGGTTCAGGTCTGTCTCTAGAACTTACTGTTCTATCTGGCCTATCTGCTAAGAGGAAGTTAGGCCTACCACTTGTGGGGAGATTGGGAGATTGAACGTTCTGGGCTGCAGAATGAGCTGGAGAATTTCAGGGTGGTTCCCCGGGAGCGGGGGGTGCCATGGGAGCAATATTGAGTTAGGAGAACAAAGCACATTCACACCGTTCCCTGTGCCTTTCTTACGTAATGTTCATCTGACTCTTGAGAGTCTGGTTTGGAACATTTCTGCTAACCTCAAGCCAGAGTCGTCCTTAGTCATAGACTTTGATTTGTGACAGTCATTTGGCAGATGGTCTTTGTGTCTCATTCTCTTCACCTACAAAATGAAGAGGTACCAGGCACCAGTGGTTCATGCCTATAATCCTAGCTACTCACTCAGAAGGCTGAGATCTGAGGATTGTGGTTCAAAGCCAACCTGGGCAAGAAAGTGTGAGATGCCATGAACCACCCAAAAGCCAGAAATGGAGCTGTGGCTCAAATGGTAGCGTGCTAGCTTTGAGGGGAAAAAAATGTTAAGAGACAGATCCCAGGCCCTGAGTTCAAGCCCCAGTACCAAAACGCATGCACGCACGCGCGCGCGCGCGCACACACACACACACACACACACACACACACTCACTCACTCATACACTCTATAGACATTACCCCACACAATCACCAAATCTCCTAGGGTTGTGGGAGACAGAGGGGAGGCAGAGGTGAAGAGCTCTAATTACCATACATGCAAGCCGAGGGATTTGGTCCTATGGAATTCGTAGATGCCCCTCCCACCCCCATCCCCACCCCTGCCCATGATTGGCACAAAGTGGACCACCCCTCCCCACTGACAGTTTCTCACATGGCATCTTATGTTCTGGGCTCAAAACATGTCAGAATGCCTGGAGGTTTCCAGGGCACCGCTTAGCATTGGGCAAGCGGAGGAAGGTGCCATTTTGTCTGAGTACATTAAATCCTGTGAGAACCCTCTGCCTCTGTCTGCTTCACCCAGAGACGAGTCAAAGCCATAGAGTGATCTCAGGGGAGTCTTCTTTCCCTTCATCAGAGGCTGGGTACTTGGGAGGGAGTGCATTTTGCCATGGAGAAGCATAAAAGGCTTGCCCAAGTGAGCTGAGTTTAGAGAGGTCTACCTCGTTCTCCTGGGATGCATGGGCTGGTCATAGCTGACTGCCTACTGCAAATGCTGTTTAAAAGAGCAGGAATTTTCCAGACACAGAAGAACCTTTAAAGCCTTACTGGGTAAGTCTGTAGAACTGGCCATTTTCCTGAGGGACGAATCAGCAGGGACTTGAGAATTTCTTTATAACGTTTACCTTAAGAGGAATTTTCTTTTGGTCATTTGTAGGGCTTGAACTCTGGGCCAGGGGAGCTGTTCCTGAGCTCTTTCATTCAAGGCTAGGGCTCTACCACTTAGAATCACAGCTCCACTTCTGGTTTGAGTGGTTAATTGGAGAGAAAAGTCTCACAGGGACTTTTCTACCCGGTCTGGCCTCAAGCCACGATCCTCAGATCTCAGCCTCCTGAATAGCTAGGATTACAGGCGTGAGCCACTAGAACCCGGCCTTAAAAGCAATTTTGAGGCTACTGTTGGACTCATGTCCCTGAGACCTGGCACAGCCAGTCCTGCTCTCTTGGCCTCGTCCAAGTATAGTTATTTTCCCTGGGTTGCCTCAAATTCCAGTGAGAGCCTGAGGTCAGTCTTGACCTTGAGAGCAAAGGAGCCTGGGTTTTCCTGCCTTGGGTCTCAGCAGTAGGAAAATACCCAGGCACCTTTCCAACCAGAAGGACCTCTGCCCTTGCCACAAGCCACAGTCCTGTCCACAAACAGGAAGCTTTCTCCTACACGGAGGCTCAGGTCTGATGACTGTGACACGCACGCCCTAGCAGTTTTCCCCTAACAGGAAAGTGTCGGAGCTGGCAGGCATTTCCTCTGCCATCTGCCATCTGGACAGAGGAGAACATCTTAGTTTTAGCTGCACAGCAGAGGCCACTGGGATTAGAGGCTGCTGGAATAAATCCTGGAGACGTAAGAACCAGGTTTTGAAGGGCAGAGCCAACACTTCTATGACATACCTTTCCTGGGACCTGTTTTTTGGTTTTTTTTTTTTTGTCAGTCGTGGGGCCTGAACTCCAGGCCTGGGCGCTGTCCCTCAGCTCTTCAGCTCAAGGCTAGCGCTCTACCACTTGAGCCACAGCGCCACTTCCAGCTTTTTCTGCTTATGTGGTGCTGAGGAATGGAACCCAGAGCCTCAAGCATGCAAGGCAAGCGCCCTACCACTGAGCCACCTTCCCAGCCCATGGGGCCTGGTTTTTATAGAGTGATCAGAGTTCATCATCTTTGAGTCCTAGTCAGCAACCTGGAGTAGAACTATGTGCTTCATTAAAACTTAGTTCCGTGTTTTCAGTGGAGAGAAGGAAGGAAAGGCCAAGCAAAAACACAGCATCACTGAGCACCAGTAGCTCACGCTTGTAATCCTAACTATTTAGGAAGCTGTAATCCTAACTACTTAGCCCTGAAAGGAGAGACTGTGAGACTCTTGTCTCCAATTAACCACCAGAAAACTGCAAGTGGAGCTATGGTTCAAAGTGGTAGAGCACCAGCCTTGAAGAAAGAGAGCTTGGGACAGTGCCAAGGCCCCAAGTCAAACCCCATGACCATCACCACCACCCAAAACACAATTTTGGTGTTAGCTGTGCTTTCTGTGAGTTTTTTTTTTGGGGGGGTGGGGGAGTTGGAGAGTAAGAGGGAGGGAAGGAAGAAGCCCTTTGCGTGCCACTGAACCTAGAGACATAGATATATTCTCTACTTCTCACATCTTTGGCTTGCTTGTCATTGTTCAGGGTTCTTGTAACCTGGAACAAAGCATTCTTAGTTACTATTATTAATGTTTTCCTGCCGTTGGTAATTCCTTTTGAATTGAATTTGAATAGCATATGTGTGCACAAGCAATTCTTAAGCAAGATAATTGTTTTTCCCAAATTTGTTCTCTGATGTCTTAAATACTAATCGATACACATTTTGGTATCGAGGGCACTTTAAACACTTTTGTTTCTCATCGTTGCATGTATATGGTTAGCCGAAATTTTTTTTTCAGGTAGAATTTTAGAAAGAAGGATTTCTTGGAGAAGGGGGTGATGGTGTGAGTTTTCATTGGAATTATTATCTGAGATTCGACTACAGCTCAGGGATACTAATAATTTCATCTCTTGCTCTCCATTTCTGTCTTCTCAGGAGGAGTTTAAGAAGGACAAAGGCAAGGACCTCATCCAGATACTGTGTGGGAAGGAAGAGGCTGGGGCTGGGGCTGGCGTGTGTTCCTTGCTCCTTGCCCAGTCTGAGGTTAAACCTCACTGCCTCCTGCTGGTCTTGGCCAACAGGACAGGTAAGGATACACCTGTTTGGGGTTAGAGCATGGTTAGGGCTCAAGTTTGAGATGAGGTAAGAAAATCACGGGTCTCCAGGGAGGAGAATTTGGCTGAGAGGGAGTCTGACCATTGAAGCTTCTTCAAGAGTAGCATGGGCTGCTCAAGCTTGTCAATTTAGCAGCCTCTGTTTCCTCATTCTAGAACTTTCTGGCAAGCTCCAGCTTATGGAAAAGAACAAGTCTAACTTGAAAAAGGTAAGTTCACTACTGGGATGGTGGGTCTCAGAGGGAGCAGTGGGTCAGGGGAGCAGATAGAGTAGAGGAGGAAGTGTATTTAGTCCTTTCCTTAGATCTCCTTCCTGAGATCTGAAGAGCATGGGTTTGAGCCAGCCTGGGCAGAAAAGTCCATGAGACCCATTATCTCCACTTAACCAACCAAAAGACCAAAAAGGCAGCCATGGTTTCAGTGGTAGAGTGCCAGCCTTCAGCCAAAATCTAAGCAAGAGCACAGACCCTGAGGTTAAGTCCCAGTACCAACACACACACACCCCAATGTGTTCTTCTATATCCTCAGGTCTGGAGTGGGCTAGGTTTCTTCTAGAACTCTCTTTCCACAAGTAACAGACTTCCTTTTCTGTGCTGTGTCCTCAAGCTGGGGATCCAAGAATTCATGGAGCAAGACATTGGGAGCCACCAGAGCTATTCCCGAAAGACCCTGATCGCGCTGGTCACCTCAGGAATCCTGCTGGCTGTTTTGGGTGCCATCGGCTATTTCTTGATGAATCGTCGCAGTTGGAGCCCTGCAGGAGAGAGGCTGGTCAGTGTGGAGGTCTTGGGCAAAGGGAAGGAAGATAGTGGTCTTCCAGGGACATCCCTGGAGGTCAGGGAGAGGGAGGAAATACCTGGAAGGACAATCGTGTGCTCTGTCTAGGGAGATGCACACACACAGACACTGGACCCCAAGGGGAACGGAAGCCGTGTGCCGCATGGTATCTGTTATGTCTTGCTTCCGGTGTAAGCAGTAGTGGAATAGCCCACCTCTTCCCTGTCTGGGCAGATGACGCATGTTCATTACATTTCCTGCTAGAGTCCTGGCCATGACCAGCATAGGCTACTAAGTGAGCCATGCTTACATATGAAGGGCCCCATGGGGTGACAGATACAGAGGAAAGCATACTCTTGAAATATTCTGGGTGGGAGTGTGTTGGGGGGGGGGAGAATAGGGCTGAGGTTTGACCCCTGACCTCTAGCCAGGGAAATTATTTCACCCGGGGGACCACCAGGTATTCTCTGGGGCCTGTGGCGGCACTGTATGGTGCCTTTCCTCTGTCCTTTCTCCTCTAGGAGCTGGAGCCCTGACCACTCTTCAGGAAGAGACGAGTCTCCCATGCAGCAGCACCCCCATTCCCGCTTCCCTTTCCTGCTTCCCTTGGACTTCCCCTTACCTCCCATTGTCCTCCCTTCCCTACCCCCAACTACTCCTTGAACCTCCCACCCCTGCTGACCAGATAATGATCCTCTATTTATACACTGTCTAGGGCGAAGACCCTTATTACACGGAGAACGGTGGAGGCCAGGGCTATAGCTCAGGACCTGGCACCTCCCCGGAGGCTCAGGGAAAGGCCAGTGTGAACCGAGGGGCTCAGGAGAACGGCACCGGCCAGGCCACCTCCAGAAACGGCCATTCATCAAGACAGCATGTGGTGGCTGATACGGAGCTGTGACGTGGCTGGGTGTGTGTGTGTGACATGTGGTCTCTCCTGGCCTCTGATTCTATGCTGCCTCTCTGCTGAAGGTGACATTCCCTTATGCCCTAACCTTTCCCTCCGAGACTCTTCCTGTTCCTCCGCTTTCTTGGGGGGAGGAAGGTAGATTCCTGCCCTTTATATATTCAGCTTCCTGAATGCAGACTCTGGTTTTCTTGGGGGCAGAAGTTGAGGGGGGGAGGGACATGGTGAAGAAAAGCCAAGGGAAGTGGTGGATGGCCTTGTAGTATTTGCACCCAAGACCCCCTTCCTTCTGCCCCACTACAGGATGACTAGGGGAAAGGGTGGGCTTTTTAAAAACTATACTTTCTTCTAAGGAGGCTTTGGTTTTTTACTATTTCTTCTTGATACTTTCTTTCTGTAACTTGAGGGAAACCAAACAACTCCATGGGTGAAACCCCCCTTTAATAATATAGCCAGAAAAACGTGTTGTCTTAAACCACAGCTTTTATCTTTTCTACAAGACACTGTGGATTTTGTCCCCAGTCCCCCACCCCATCCCCACTTCTGCCTGGTTCTCCAGTTCTGCCAAGTTCCCTGTGCCCCCCCATGTGTGTACCAAGGCCAGCACAGGTGTCTGGGTAGAACTGATTTGAGCTCTACATTTTAGAAACAGTGCCAGTCTCTTGGGGGCCACACAGCGGTCTCCCCTCTGGTCTGCGTGAATGGGACCACAGGACCAGATGTGTTTATGCTGCGCCTCTTCAATTGTGCCCTTCTGAGCAGGCAATCTCCATGGCTTCCTCCTGCTGCCCCCTGACTCCTGGGTTGAGCTATAGCCTCAGTCCCCCAGCAAGCTCCTTGTTTCTGCTTGCCCATTCCAAACCCCTTTACCTGCTCTGTGGTCAGAGCCCCAGGCCATTTCCCAAAGACCACAAACTTGTTTGTGGAAGTTTGTGGTCCTTCTCTCTCTCTCTCTCTCTCTCTCTCCCCGGTGGGATAACCAATGACGGTTGGAAATAGAACTTTCCAGAAATGAGAGGATTGGGTGGATTTTTCTTGTTGTTGTTGTTCAGAATTTAAAAACAGAAAAAAGGGATGTCTCTGAGTACTGTAATTAAAGTGATACTGAAACATCTGTTCCTGTGGCACAGTTCACTGTGTTTGACTGACCGGCAGGCCTCTCCATCAGCAGTAGGGGTGGGAAGAGACCTGCCAGAGATGACCTTGGAGCCTGTCAGGGCTGACAGGTATAGGCCAGGATGCTGACGTGAGGCTAACGTTGCCAGCCCTTTCCAGCTTTGTTGGGGGCATGGAGGCTGGATGTTTCCAGTAGACACACTGAGACTCTGGCATCCCTAGAATATGCATTCCCAAGGAAAAGGCAGCCTCTGTTATCAGACCCTTACCCACCCCAGCTCAAAGTGTCACCCTTCAAGGAGCAAGAAAGGGCTGGCTTCCACTCAGGATTCTAACAGCCATCTGTAAGCATTCACCTCTCCTCAGTTACCAGATGTCCCCCTACACCCCTCCAAGGCACAGGAAATGGGGGAGGGGTCCAGCCTCTCCCACTCAGGAAACACCCTCAAGTGTGTCAACAGAGGCCCAGGCATTTAGGGCCAAACAAAGGTTGATTCTTCCAGTCTTATCTCACCAAAGTCAGACCTTTCCCTCTTTGCACTCTCCCACCCCCCATTTCTGTCCAGCTTTCCTCCAACGTTCTCATCAAGGCTTCTCCCTACAACTTGGGAGGATGAGGCTGGAGCCTCGTGGTAACTGGTTTGAGGACTGGAAGACAGAAGGCAGAAATGACCGAGGGAGGACTTGGGGTCCAAGGCCCAGATGGATGGGGACGGGGGAAGAAAAGAGGCTAGGAATCAGGACAGCTTCAGCCTGAGTTTCTGAATGGAGGCTTTGGAAGTGAAGGGTGTGTGTGTATGTGTTGGAGTGGAGGCTGTTTTTCTGTGATTGCACAGTTTTCCAGAAAGCACTCATTTCTAGGAAGAAAATCAAACTTTCCCACCTTTGGCCTGAGCATCCTGGTGCATCAATGGTGCCACCTGCTGGTCCTACTGAGCTCCTACCACTCATGGGACTCCATGTTGGGTTTACTCTCAGCTGCTGTTCCATGGTTAACAGTCTGTTTTAGCAGTTCAATTTTGTCATATGCAAAGCTCACCTAGCCATAGAAAGACTGATGCAGAGGACCTCAAACATGATATTCAATCCCACTTCCTGTGCTGAAACAGTTAATCCAAGGCTCTGAGAAGGGCAGGGCTTGCCCAATCGTCTAGATTCCAGATGTTCTGAATGCAAACTTTCCCCTTCATCATGTCACCCTGCTCTTCTGCCAAGACCCTGGGATCTTCCATTTGGATGTCAGGCTGATAAAGGCAATGTTTGGGGCTTTGGTGGTTTGGGGGTACTCCAGACTTAGGAAGCATTTTACCATCCCAGTCAGCCTGAGCTGTCCTATGCCCTGGGAGACTATGAGGTTCGGCTCCCTCTGCTGTGTCCTGGGTCGGCTCTGGATTAACTGGTGTATTACACTCTTCATTTATGCCATCCCATCTCTTCTAGATAGATCAATCAATCCCATACTTTTCACATAAACTCAGAAATAGGCAATTTTGTGCTATAGGGTGCTGCTGCTCATCCTTTATCGCCTTTCCAGAGAGTTTTCGGCTACCATTCAGCCACTCTATAGCTTTATTGAACACATAAGTGAGCCGCTTGATGTTCTAGACACTGGGCTATAGCAAGTACTCTTGGAGCTCACCATTCCATTCTAAGAGAAAAACAAGAAGCAATTTATCTTTTGCTAGTCCTGGAGCTTAAACCCTGGGTCTGTGCTCTGTCCTTAAGATTTTGTTCAAGGTTAGTGCTCTACCACTTGAGCCCCAGTGCCACTTCTGTTTTTGTTTTAAAGTAGTTTATTAGAGATAAGAGCCTTATAGCTGGGTGCTAGTGGCTCACACCTGTAATCCTAGCTACTTAAGAGGCTGAGATCTGAGGATCATTGTTCGAGGCCAGCCCGGGCAGGAAAGTCTGTGAGACTATCCTCAATTAACTACCAGAAAAAATGCAAGTGGAGCTGTGGAAGAGATCTAGCTTTGAACAGATAAAGTTCAGGGACAGTGGCCAGACCCTCAGTTCAAGCCCCACATATCAAAAAAAAAGTCATGGACTTTCCTGCTTAGGCTGCCTTTGAACTACAATCCTCAGATTTCAGCCTTCTGAGTAGCTAAGATTACAGGTGTGAGCCACTGGTGCCCTGTTAATAAGAAACAACTATTTCAATAGACATACATGTTTTCAGGTCACATTAAGAGTATGGCAAGTGGGATCTCAAGAGATTTCATCATGCTATTTAGGAGAATGGCAACTTAAAACTTGTGAGCTTATTTCTTCAATTTTGACTTACTTTGGTAGAGTGGGTACCTGAAACTGGGAGTCGAAACTGCTGATGTGGCAAACAAGTGGGGAGTGAGGGGAAGGGTTGATGTTTTATATACAATCTTTACTCTTTAGGAGGCCAAGGTTGAAGTCATAGGTTTATTTGAAGAAAAGTGGTGTAGCAGGTTAAGGTCTGAGCTGGGAGAGATGTTCCCACACGGAAGATCTGTGGCCAAACCCACTGACTGCAGCGGTAAGCTCCAGTAGAGAGAAAAGCAGAATGGAGACTAGCGCAACCACTATGGAAGGCCATTTGGAGATTTGTCCGGAAACTAAACCCAGAACTACCGTGTGAGCCAGTGATGCCACTCTGAGGCATCTACTCAAAAATATCATCTCAAATTAGGATACAAAAAAGACATTTGCACATCCATGTTCATTGCTGTACTGTTCATCCTAGATGAATTATAGATACAGCGCAGGTGCCCTACAATAAACAATGGAAACAGGTTTTGTCAAGCAGGTAGGTGGCAGGGGGAGGTGGGGCAGCTGAATGGAGAGGAAGGTGGGAAAATATAGTCATATATTCACATTCATAATATGTGAAAATGGAATTGAGTACCCTGAGGGCATGGTGGGGTTGGGAAAGATGGGTGAAAATGTTGCAAGGGGTGGTATTGACTAAGATGCTTTGCACTTACAAACTGACATACTGAATTGAAATCCCTTTGTACAAAACTACTTAAAAGATATAGCTGGGCTTTGGTGGCTCATGCTGTAATCCTAGCTACTCAGAAGGCTGAGATCTGAGGATCGTGGTTCAAAACCAGCCCGGGCAGGAGAGTAAGTGAGACTCTTTATCTCCCAGAAGTGTCACTGTGCTCCAGTGGCTAGAGCACTCACCTTGAGCTGAAGAGCTCAGGGACAGTGCCCAGGCCCAGAGTTCAAGTCCCACTACTGACAAAAAAGAAGGAATAATAATGATAATATGGCTATTAATGGAGACAAGGTTATATCAGACTTGCTAGTGGAAACCACTGGAGCATTTTGAGCAGCAAAACAACAAGATCTGGTTTATGTTCTATAATGATTGTGCTGGCTGCCAAGTAGAGAGGAGAGAAGGACAAGAGGTTGGGAGGAAGGAGGTGGCAGGTGGGGTATGATGACAGTGTGAAGGGAAATCATGGTGGCCAAAGCAAGCAATCACGTTGGAGATGATGAGTGGATGAGTGAGATGAAGCAGAATTGGGAAGATGTGTGAAGGAAAAGCTCAAGGACTTGCTCAATCCACTTATTCATGATAATAGTGGTCGTAGCTAACATTTAAGTACTTAGGAAAATGGAGACACTGTACCAATATTTAAGTAGTGTGTTTTACTTAGCATTCATCTCAAACTCCAATTCAGTTAATTGTATTCTCTCAGAAAATAAAATGGAAGGAAGTTGAGGTAAAGGCAGAGTCTTTACGAGATGGAGTCATGGATTGCTTGTATTCCAAGTGGGTCTGTGAAGATGGAAACAATTCTCAGGAGAATGATGAGTGAGGACATTTGAGGCTGATAGAAAACAACGTACAAGATGTGGAGTCTGGGGATTAGAAGCCACTGTCAAAGGACAGCATTTTCCATGATGGCAGAGAAATGGGGACGCTGAGTCCCAGAAAGATGGGTGTATTACCATTAGTATTGCATTGTTTAACAGGTGAGCCATTGAAGAGGTTCCACACATTCACTCATTCATTCAACAAATATATTTAAGAGCTCATTGTAAGCACTATATATACCCTGCCAGTACCTGGGACAAGATGCAGCCTCTTCCTTCTGTTGAGTCTTTCCTCTGGGTGGGCATGGGATGGGAGGTGACAGAAGGGTTTGTGTGGTGTGTATGAGTGCTATAGTGTGGAACGTTGTACCAGGGACTTGTAAGAGAATGAAAGTGAAGAAGGAAAATAGCATTTAAAAATATAATGAAAATAGCTCTAGTCAGAGACACTTTGGGAACGTTTTTTGGAACTCTCCTCCTCCAGGGGGGTCCTTAGGATACACTTTTGAGAACTGCTGGTTCTTGACCTTTAATATTGTTTGTTTTTTTCAATGTTGAGTTTGTGTTACTATCATATTGCCCTGTCGTGTTGAATTAAGTAAAATGTATTTTAAAATTGGTCTCAGCTTTTTCTTTCCTTTAAAATCATGCTGCTAGAAAATGGAAAAGGACATATTTATCTCACAAAGTCGTTTTGACTGGGCAGTGACGCTGTGGATGAATGTAGATGGTGAAAGCTTTGAAGTTTTGTCTTTATTCAAAGGTAAGATAGAGCTGATAGAACAATGGCAAATAGATAGGGATGAAAAGTGGCATAGAAACCTGTCCCATCATGGTGTTTCCTCTTCCCAGCATGCCTTGGGCTGTTGCTTGAATGTTCTTTCCACCATGCTGTGGGCTTAAATATTTCTTCCCATAATGCCCTGGGTGCCCATGCAACCAAGGAAAAGAGCTGGGGTGGCACCTGCACAAGCCATTAAGTAATCAGCACAAAGCCCAGCAGAGGACCTAGAGAGGCACTCCTACGGTAACCCCAAGCCCTTCCTCCCAGAGGACTCCCTTGGACCGGCTTTGGGGCCCTCTCCAGATGGATGGAGAGTCTCCCTTCTTTCATAGCTTTCCTTTCACCTTCAAGCAAATTTGTTCCGTTTACCTTAAACACGTTCCTGCCTTTTAATTCTTTAATGGGCAGAGAAAACA